CCGGCCATTCGCTTCCGCGAACCCAACAATGAAATTAAGGCTCTGCGCGAAAAGGAGAAGCAAGATTGGAAAAAATTGAGCACTGAGGAAATTAAGGCTTTATATCGTGCCAGTTTCTGCCAAACTTTCGCTGAAATCCAAGCGCCTACCGGTGAATGGAAACAGCATTTGGGTATTAGTTTCATCTTCGTCAGCATGGCCATTTGGATTGCAGTTCTCATGAACCTTTTCGGTATGTTTATATGCTATAACTAAAATCAACTTTTGCTCATAATAAATAATAAATTTAAAATTTAGTTTACGATGACCTGCCAATCACCTTTGATGATGAGCACAAGAAGGCGCAATTGAAGCGTATGCTTGACTTGGAAGTCAATCCTGTTACTGGTTTGGCCTCCAAATGGGATTATGAAAACAAGAAGTGGAAATAAATCAAATAAGCTAATTGTGTGAAATAGTGCTGCCTCTGCAATTATTTAATAAGTCTAAAGCAATTCAAATCTACAAAATATACCATCATTGCAAAGTAAATTACAATGTTAGTGTTATTGCAATAAAGCTTGCAAACAAAATTTGAATAATAGATCACATTGTAAACTATGCTATGACCAACTATGTGAAGCTAAATGTATTAAATCAGAGCTTTAGTAAATTTCTAATATTAAACCGATACAACAAACAAGGAGCGAGTATTATTAAAATACAAACACATTTAAAAATCAAAAGGAAATAGTTTTGCAATGGGTGAAAATATCAGTAAATTTTGGAAAAACTGTCATTTTGATAGGTGAATCGTATATCACGTATACAGTTTCGAATACCACGTTACATAGATGTCTAATAAGACAAATAAGAGAAAAAGTTTTGATTTGCTGAACTGATTCATAAAAATGTAACTACTTCCGTCTAACAACCACATGCTCTCATGCTTTGTTCGCCTCTGGCACATCGTAATACACTATTCAACAAATATGCAATGAACTCGAAACCAAATATAGCGCCTTAAAGTATGCAACGTTCCTGACTTGCGTGAATGAAGTTGCAAGATATTGCATTTTACTAGGCGCCCAGAAACAGCAAGTAGGCGGCTAACCCAAAAAAGCGTTTGCATTTTCTCCCATAACTTTTGAACGCCTCAACCGATTTTGATGAATGAGATGTCTAATGAAAAGGAATTATCTAGCGGTGCCAATGCGTATCACTTGGATGTGCAATATTGATTATTGAGTGTGTTATTTGGGAGGATAAGATGTGTGTGATGTTTAAACGTTCATATGCAGTGCTTTAGTTAATCCAAGTGCGAACCGATTTTAATAATTGAGGTGTCTGCTGAAAGCAATTCTCTAGCGCTGCTAATGCTCTACCGTGTTTTTGAGTGGAAAAACTGTGAACACTTATCTATAATACTAGGGTTTAAAGGTTTGCTTGGAGTGATGTAGTACTCAAAAATTGACAAAGTGTTTGTGCTGCCTCGAGTGCATGGTTTCTCATTCACTTTTCTTAATAAAACACAGTTGCAGTTGCTATTATATTTAATACTCTCTTTATTATTGTTTGCTTTGCTCGAGTTTTGATTCCGCATTCTTTTATTGATTCCAGCGCTATATGTTCTGTTACTTATATATTAACATAACTGTACTGCTTTGCTTAGCCAGCAAATTAATAATCTGGTGTTTATTTGGCGCCATAGTGAACAAAAATATTTCCACAAATGGCACGAAATCTACTTAAATGCACAAATTAGGAAATGCAGCTTAGTTTCGTCTTTTTTTTAGAAATCATTCGCATTTGCTGTCATAAATGTCAACTCAGTTGTTTAGCTGTTTAGTTATTTCATTATTATTATCCATTTTTTAATTTTTATTTGTTATTATAAACTTTGTAAACAATTTGTATAGTCATTTTACGTATATTTTTAAGCAATTAAGGAGTTTTTTATTTTTTAAATTAAATAAAAACATATTTTTAATTTTTTTTTTAACATATCTAAGGTATTTATTTATTTTAACTTCAAATAAAGGTATTTATTTATTTTAACTTCAAATAAATACAATACGCATAATTATTTTATGTTTATTTGTAATAATAATTATTGTAAATTTATTATTTGCTTTAATTAAAAATATCTACCGTTATTACATTTGCTCACACGCCAGCAATAGTCAAAGGGACTAACGTTTTATCGCGTTTATTTATCTTCATATTTAGTTAATTAGTAGCAAAAGTTAGTTAATTCATGCTTCTTCTTCTTCTTCTTCTTCTTCTTCTACCTGACACTGCACCCCACTGCAATATTATGTATCGCAAAATAATTTGAATATATGATAGTTCCTTATTTTGTTTTTATGTACGTATTTATGTGTAGCATGTTTTATAGTTAGGTATAAGTTTGGTTTGTAGGGTATAAAAAGTGACAAATTCAATAAATTTTCAATATACATACATACAATATTATTAGCACATGCTTTTTTGTAATTTCAACTATTTTCGTTACACTTACATTTTTTTCATTATTACTTTTACATTCATTTGCATTTCCTTCGCTTTGTTTTTGCTTTTTTGACAGCAAATTCATTACCGTTATTTCTATGGCCGCTTACTCGCCCTAGCAATTTTCATTGTGCCAAAACTAGCTAAGTGAAATTGTTCAGCGTTCGAGTGCCAGGTTTTTGTTTACAGCTATTTTCTTATTTATTTTCATTTTGTTTTTGTTCTTTGTTTCCTTTTTTTATTTTTGTGGAACTTAACGCTTAGTTTAACTATTTACAAATAATTTGTTAGTACATACTAAATATTTAATTACAGTTAGTTTGGTATGTGTTGTAGTTTGCATGACTTCTTTGTAGCGGTAAATTTATGTTTGCATAGACATGTTTTTTCCATATTTTTTTTTTTTGTAAATATTATCAATAGACATTTAACATTTATATTTTAGCTAGTTTTCATCTTTGAATTAAACTGTCTTATTTTGGATTAAATATATATAAATATGTGTATGTATGCGCAGGATTTGTTGATAATCACTGATTTGCGTAGGTATTGCAATTTTGATTTGGTTTTTGCTAATTTCTATGTTTTTGAATCGTCTTTGTTCTTCTATGTCTTCACACGTCTCTTGCAAGCTACCATAAACGATAGTGTATGCACATATGTATGTATATGTACGAGTATCTGCAATTCGTATTGTGGAATGACTTGTTATTTTCTCCAGCTCTTAAAATCATTACATTTGTATGTATGTATGTACTCAAATAATGGATTTTTGAAGCCCTCCATGAAAAATGCATT